CGCCAGGAGCGCCAGCGGCGGGGGCGCCTGCAGCAGCTTCAGCTGGTGCTTCACCGCAAAACCGACCTTGACCAGCCCCGGGCGCTCCAGCAGCGCCCTCACGCCCTCCCACAGCACCAGCAGCCGCCGCGTGCTGCCGCACTTGTAGAGCGGGACGTACCACGCCGCGCCATCGCCGCAGCTGAAAGCAACGCCGTACACCTCCCACGGCCAGCTGGCCGGGGCCGCCGCCGCAGCTGCTGCTGCTGCTGTCGCCGCCGCCGCCGCCGCGCCTGCCGCGCGGCCGCCGCTGCCCTGGGCAGGCAGTCGGGAGTGAACCTCCTGCTGCTGGTGGTCGCTGTGGAGGTGCAGCGCCCAGCCCAAGCGGCCCGCGCTGGTCAGGGCGGAGGCCAGGCCGTCGAGGCCCGCTTGATCCTGCACCAAGTCGATGCCGCGGCGCTGGCGCGGCGGCCGTGAAGGCTCCTGCGGCGCGGGCTGCTGCCGCCCACCCTGATCCTTGGGCTGCTGCTGGGGCTGCTCCTGCAGCTGCCCCTGTTGCCGCTCCTCCTGCTGCTGCCCCTGCCCCTGCCCTACTTCCTGCTGCTGCTCTGCCCGTGCATATGCCGCTGACTGCCCTGTGCAAGACGCTGGCAGCCCTGAGCCGGTGACTGTTTGCCACACATTGGGCTGCTGCTGCTGCTGCTGCTGCTGTGGTGCCGGCACCAGCGGCAGTGGTCTCAGGAGCGCAGAGCCTGTATTCATGCGCTTTGCCACGTGCCCCTGGTCCCCAGACTCAGCGGTGCCAGTCTCAATCAAAGGCCGCTTAGCTGCGCCACTGGGATCGCTCAGGCCGTGCTGCTGCTGCTGCTGCTGCTGCTGCTGCTGCTGCTGCTGCTGCTGCTGCTGCTGCTGCTGCTGGCGTGGCTGCTGCCGCGGTGGCGGACCCATTGGCACCGCTCTGCTTTCCATCGCGCCCTGAGGGCCTGGCACGCCGTACGCAAGCGACGCATGAGGCTGCGGCGGCACCACCCTCGGCTGCTGCTGTGCCTGCTGGGTCTGCTGCCGCTGCGTCAGCTGCGACCGCTGCTGCTGCGAGACCAGGCCCCCTAACGAAGCCTGCGAGGCCGCGGCGGCGCGGGCCGACGCCGCGGCGTCGATCAGCCGCGCGATCCCGGCCCGCGTCTGGGTGTCTCCAAGCTGCTGCGCCTCCTCCTGCGCCTCCTGCAGCTTCCGCGCCAGCTCCTTGCGCGTGTGGGCCTGGGCGCTCTGTGATAATGGAGGGCAGGGATGGATGCAAACAGAGGGCAGGCGCCGCCGCCATGGGTGAGGGAAGGGGCAGGCGCGCTTGAAACCAGTTTTGTAATGAGCGCCAGAGTCTAAACAAGACTTCCGAGGTACTCAATCGTGCCGTTGATGCACTAGCCTGTGGATACATAAGGATCCTCCACCCTCTCTCTGCAGCCTGCGCGTTCACGCGTTCGCGCACACCCCAGCACCCACGTCCAGGATCATGCGTGCGGCGTGATTGAGGTGCTTGTCGTCGGTGCGGGACCCCTGGCGCGCCGAACGCCGCAGAATCTGTGTTTGTGTGTGTGTGTGTGCGTGTGTGTGTGTTTGTGTGTGTGTGTGTGTGTGTGTGAGTGCACGCGCGCGCGCGTGTGCGTGTGGGCGCGCGCGGGAGGGGTCAAGAATTATCCACACCGGGAACGCCGTGCCCGTAGCCCGCCGCTGCGCTCAAGCTGCGCGCGCCCCGCATCGCGTGCCCCCCCCCCCCAGCGCACTCACCTCAGCGATGGCGGGCACGGAGGACCGCGCGACCTCTGCGGGCGTCCTGAGGCCAGCCTGGTAGAGCTGGCGCGCCCGCGCCGCCCTGATGCCGTTGAGCTCGACCAGAGCCAGCATCTAGGCGCCAGGAGGGGGGATTCGCAAAGGGGCGAAAGGGCGGTGCTGACGATGCAGTGTGGGTATGAGAACGGGGGTGTCGGAATGGGGGTGGGCATGCACAGGAGTTGTCATGGGCAGCTGGTCGGGGGACTCCCTGGTCACGGGAAACCGAGCAGGAGGTAGAGCTCGGCTGAGCTGAAGTTCAAAAACTGATGGACCCGCCATGAGCGCAGGGCCGACAGCCGCCGCCGCCTGCTTGCTGCGCAGGCCGCACCTCCTGCCTCACGCCCTTCAGCACGCGCTGGGCCAGCGCGTCGGCCAGCATGTGCAGCTGCAGGTAGGTGTCGCCCAGGCGCTCGCAAAAGTGGGCCACCATGCGCGCGAACCAGCTCGCCTGAAGCACCGCGTTTGTTGGAAGCACAGTAGGCAGTGTTGGTGCGGTGAGATTCGGAGGGCGGGCGGGTTTCAAACCTGGCAGCCTGCAGGTATCAAACCTCACAAGGCGGCCAATAAGCAATCACATCCCTGGATTGCCAATCATGCGGCCAACGTGTTGTGCTCTCAGAGAAGCTATTGCAAACACTCCCACCTTCCTGACACGTAGCGGCTCAATTACCCAGACATTGCCGCACTTCAACCATTCTCCGGCCCCCCCCCCAAAGTATCAAAGCCCTGTCTCACCGTCTCCTTGAGGTCCTCCACGCGCCCCGCCATGACGCCAAACTTCTGGGCCACCTCTGACGGCTCAACCTCCTGTGGCGTGGCCGGGGTGATGTGGGTGCGCGGCACGGGCGCACGGGGTATGTGGCGTGTGTGTGTGTGTGTGTGTGTGTGTGTGTGTGTGTGTGTGTGTGTGTGTGTGTGTGTGTGTGTGTGTGTTTGCGCATGTGCGCGCACATTCGCGTGTGTACGGATGAACCAGAGAGATAGATAAATTGTGTGGAGGGTCACGGGCACAGGACTCGGTTGGAGGAGGAGCTGTCCGCAAGAGCTGTGGACTGGCGCTGGCGCAGCAGGTTTCGTTGCGCAACCACGCGCGGCAGCCTCATGGCGGCTAGCGCACGAATTGAAGCAAGCGCGGGCCATGCGGCACGCTGTCAATACACCAGGAAACATCCTCCTGCCTGCTCGGCTCCCAAACCCCAGCCACAAGGTGTCCCCATCCTCTTTTAACGCGGGCACCTGCACGAGGTCGTAGAGCATGAGGGTGGTCCAGAACCGCGTGTACCGCTGCAGCTCCGCATCGGTGTTGCGCTGCACAGAATGGTGCGCGCGCTTCACCAGAAAACCCCTGGCAATGTGTGTGGTAGGGGGTGCTATGAGCGTGCGTGCGTGTGCGTGCGCGTGCGCGTGCGTGCGCTAGTGAGCATTTTTTGAGATGTGAGCGTGTGTGTTTGGTGGAAGGGGTCGAAGCCGGTCGAGGCGTTTGAGGGCTTAGGCGGCCAGGGCTGCGGAGGCAGGCAACGTCTGCAAACGTCACAATCAGCAAGGAGAAAAGCTGTCAGCCAAACTGTGGGTGCGGGTGCAGACTGGTGCAGTGCCCACAAACCGTGCAGCGACAGGCCGCATGGGATCGCACGTCGATGCTGTGACCCTGCAGCTCCGCCGCGCTCACTCTAATATGTTGATGCGGGCCATGGCGTTGCGCTCTGGGGAGTTGGGGCCGTATGAGACATAGATGCGCTCAAACCTGTGCACATGCGTGCGCGTGTCCACAAGAAAATGTGAGTATGTGAGTGTTTGCGTGTGAGTGAGTGCATGTGTGTGTGCATATGTGTGTGTGTGTGTGTGTGTGTGTGTGTGTGTGTGTGTGTG